TTTTTCGCGAGTCCACGAAATTTCCCAGGGGCGCGTAAAAAATCGGCAGCCCCGGTAATGAAAGACCGGCGGTATGCCGATGCAGAGTTAATTTCACGGCTATTAATACCCGGTAGAATCTGCTTTCATGCTATTAAGACGTTAGCTCGCATTGATCTCCTCGGCCGGTGAAAGTATCGGCGCGATGCTTATCCGATCGGTATTGCGCTCGATCACTCGAATTGATTTCTTTTTTTTTTCTTTTTCTTCTTTTCCCTCTTCAAGTTCCTGGGAAGCACGGGGGACGATTGATTTCCATCCGTTGATTAGAATCATCTCGCAAGATTCGCAAAATTCGAAAATATTAGACAACAGGAACCTGTTTGTCATTTAAGTAAACTTAATTTTCAGTATGAAGAAAGAAAAAGGACGATATTCTATGAATCCTATGAAATATTTTACGTACAAAATTTTGTTAATTAAATTTTACAATCATTACTTTATAATTCGTATTCATTGATTAATTTCATTTGCTATAATTAATCAAACTTAAATACACAAAATTCTAATTTTTATAATCTATTGTAGATATATCTTTGCTTACTTTAATTTCAAAAGTTAATTTCATTTACATTAACAATTAAATCATTTAATTTTAATTTTCATAATTTAATTAACTTTATGATTATATGTATACAAAAATAATGCCATCGTGTAACAATATCTATTGTACAAATAATATAATTATTTGACATTAGACTAATAGTAATAATATTAAAATAAATAAAATATTCGACTAACAGGCATATAAAGAACAATATTTCACTGTTCCAGCATTGATTTCGATTATTTTTCAATTAATTAGAGATCAAGTTCATTTGCAATATTGAGCTGACGGCGCATAACAGAACTTCGGGTGCAATTGTAGAAAAGTACGTAGAATCTAATTGAGCATTTCACTGCAGAAAAAGGAAGGAAAAGAAAAATAGTTCGACACAAGCATCAAACTGTACAGTACCTGTACAATTACGAATCCGGCTGCTGGCCGGAGACAGCTTGAGAATTAATTAATCGCCGCGAAATAGGCAGTTGCGGATAAACGTACCGTAATAATGGCGTTCCCGATGATTAAGGCCGACCCAGTCCGAGGCAATGGTATGCAGAGAAAGTAGGAGCCCTCTCCATACACGCCAATGCCCGATCGTTGCACCGTGCAATATACATTTCTTTCTTTTTCAACCTCCGACTGTATGTACGTCGCCTCGGGGAAATTTCGCGTTGACATTTCGCCTGATTTCTTTCTTCCTTCCTTCTTTCTTTGCTTTATAATCATGATTCTTTACCTTTTTCCTTTATCTTTTATTTTCTTCTTTTTTTTAAATTTGAGTTTGAGGTTATGTTGCATCAACTGCAAGGTTATCTGCGACAATTTGGTACATATTTACGTGACTATCAGATTGACGTATGTGAAACGTTTCTCAAATACGTGATAGATTTTTCACTCTTTTTTTTTTATTTTCTTCTTTTTTTTAATTTGAGTTTGAGGTTATGTTGCATCAACTGCAAGGTTATCTGACAATTTGGTACGTATTTACGTGACCATCAGACGTATGTGAAACGTTTCTCAAATACGTGATAGATTCTTTACTCTTTTCTTTCATTTTCTTCTTTTTTTAAATTTAAGTTTGAGGTTATGTTGCATCAACTGCAAGGTTACTGCGACAATTTGGTA